AGTTCGCTAACGAGGAGCCCATTGAGTTTGCTTTCGAGGATCCAGTCAACTCTGACAACTTTGCAGGCAAGATGATCATACCCTCGAAATCACTACTATCTTTGCTTTGCTAGATGCTCGCTCTTTTGCTATGCCTATGCTACGATGCCTACCACTTGCTTATCATGCCTCCTAAATTTCCATGTCAAACCTCTAACCCACCATGTCCTAGCAAACCATTGATTGGCTATGTTACCGCTTTGCTCAGCCCCTCTTATAGCGTTGCTAGTTGCAGGTGAAGATTGGAGGCCGTTCCTTGTTGGAACATTATTTACTTTTTGGGATATCATTATATTATCTTATTATCTCAATGCATCTATATATTTGGTAAAGGGTGGAAGGCTCGGCCTCTCGCCTAGTGTTTTGTTCCACTCTTGCCGCCCTAGTTTCCGTCATATCGGTGTTATGTTCCCGGATTTTGCGTTCCTTACGCGGTTGGGTGATAATGGGAACCCCTTGATAGTTCGCCTTGATTAAAGCTTTTCCAGCAATGCCCAACCTTGGTTTTACCATTTGCCACCTAGCCTCTTTTTCCCTTGGGTTTCCGAAGCCCGAGGGTCATCTTATTTTAACCCCCCCCCCCGGGCCAGTGCTCCTCTAAGTGTTGGTCCGAACCAGGCAACCTGCGGGGCCACCTCGGGGAAACTCGAGGGTTGGTTTTACTCGTAGCTTGACCTATCTGAGTGTGCCCTGAGAACAAGATATGTGCAGCTCCTATCGGGATTTGTCGGCACATTCGGGCGGTGTTGCTGGATTTGTTTTAACTTGTCGAAGTGTCTTGTAGAACCGGGATACCGAGTCTGATCGGAATGTCTCGGGAGGAGGTCTATTCCTTCGTTGACCGTGAGAGCTTGTCATGGGCTAAGTTGGGACTCCCCTGCAGGGATTTGAACTTTTGAAAGCCGTGCCCGCGGTTATGGGCAGATGGGAATTTGTTAATGTCCGGTTGTAGATAACTTGAACCTTAACTTAATTAAAATGAATCAACTGTGTGAGTTAACGTGATGGTCTCTTCTCGGCGGAGTCCGGGAAGTGAACACGGTGTTGGAGTAATGCTTGCCGCAGGTTGTTCTCTAGTTATTCGTTCGCATTTTGCCCTCTCTTCTCGCTCTCTTTTGCGAACAGGATAGCCACCATATACGCTAGTCGCTTGCTGCAGCTCCACATATCTTACCTTGCCTTACCTTTAAGCTTAAATAGTCTTGATCGCGAGGGTGCGAGATTGCTGAGTCCCTGTGGCTCACAGATTACTTCCAAACCAGATGCAGGGCCTGATGACTCCGTTCCAGATGACGCGCTTGAGCTCAAGTGGGAGTTCAACGAGGACTCATGCCGTTACTATGTGTCTTTCCCTGATGATCAGTAGTGGTGCCCAGTTGGGGCGATCGGGACCGTGTCGCATGTTGGGTTGATCTTTTATTTTGGCGCCGTAGTCGGGACATGAGTGTTTGAATGTTGTAATGCTACTTATGTACTTTGATTGACGTGGCGAGTGTAAGCCAACTATGTATCTCCCCTTTTATTATCTATATATTACATGGGATGTTGTGAAGATTGCCTAACTTGCGACATTGCTTTTAATGCGGTTATGCCTCTAAGTCGTGCCTCGACACGTAGGAGATATAGCCGCATCGAGGGCATTACACGGTGGATCCCAAAAGGGTCTCTCTAAATGGACAGCTCCCGCTTGCCTCCAAAGCTCAATGGAATGCTCAATGGCCTTGGTGATGTCTTGCACGGAAGGTGTCTTTCCTCTGAACATACACCGGTTCCGCTCTTGCCAAATTTCCCAGCATGTTAGGAGCATGGTGGCATTGCAGGCCCTTCTTTGTGCTGGTTGGGTGCTTGCCACCATCCGTTGGAGTGAAGCAATGGCGCTTTACCCTTGCACATGATTTCTTGGGTGTAGCTGTTGACATCCCCTTCTTGCGCCCACCCTTTCCCAGACCTCTCGGGATAGTGGGCAGCTCCATATGAGGTGGTGCGCCGTCTCCAAGTTACAAACACATAACGTGCAGAAGTAGTTGTTTGGCCAGCCGCGCCGCTCAAGCCTGTCGCAAGTCCAGAGATGATTTTGCAGAAGGAGCCAGGTGAAAATCTTTATGCACCCTGGTACCTTTGCTTCCCAGATCAGTTGCTGCCAATCGTCTTGAACTCTTCCTTGGAATTGCGCGGCATAGGCCGAACTTGCCGAGTATTGTCCCTTAGCCTCTAAGTTCCACCTAATATGGTCCCTGTTCCCCTCCGCTATTTCGGTGGTGGTTGACGCGATCGTGCGGTGCAATTGGATGAATTCCGAAAGTAGTGGTTGGACGTTCCCGTGCCGCAGGTCCTTTATCCAAGTCTCATCCGTAAGGGCGTCGCGCACCGGCGTCCTGTTTTTGCGCCTAGAGTGCGAGTAGAGCGCGAGGGTGCTCGACCCGATTCAGGAGGAGTGCCAGAAGAGTATCGTTGCACCGTCGCCGATGGTGACCGTGGTCGCCGCCGTGAAGAGGGCCTTGTCGCTGGCATTGCATGGCGGCTCCGTGCTGACCCAAGGCTGCTTTGGGTCGGTCCAGGAGATCCAGAGCCACTGCAATCTAAGGGCGCGGCCGAAACGCTCGAGGTCGAGGATCCCTAGTCCTCCATGTGTTGTGGGAGTGCACACAGCTGACCAATTAACCTTGCAGCTGCCACCTGTGATCTCCTCGTCTTGTTTCCAGAGGAATCTACGGCGGCATTTGTCAATCTCCTTGAGTAGTTTCTTTGGCACTCGAAGGACAGACAATGCGAAAGTTGGCATAACGCTCACGACACATCGAACCAGACTCGTCTGCTAGCAATGGGCAGCAGTTTTCCTTTCCAGCCTGTGAGTCGAGCTTTGATTCTATCTATGATGAACTGCGGGTTTGCTAATCTGAGTCTGGAGAGGGTGAGCGGCAAACCAAGGTAGGTCGATGGAAATTGCCCCTCGGCTCCTCCAAAATTTTGTAGCACGTCCGCAAGTTCGATACTCTCACATCTAATGGGTAATGCCACCGACTTTGAGGGGTTGATGTACAGGCTTCTGGATGTGCCAAACTCAGGACGAATTTCCATCAGTGCATCAATCTCCTGCCTAACCGGGTTTGTGAAGATGATAGCGTCGTCGGCGTACAAACTAATTCTAAGTTTTAGCTCTCGTCCTGGCAGCGGTGCAATGATGTGTTGCTCAGCTGCGGCCTGAAGTAGATGGTGCAGTGTGTCGATCGCGAGGATGGAGAGGAAAGGCGACAAGGGGTCACCCTACCGTAGACCTCTCCGGTGATGGATCTTCTTTCCGGGGATGCTGTTTAGGAGGAAAGAAGACGGCAAGGAGGAGAGTAGCAAAGCTATCCAGTCTCTCCAACGTGCACTGAAGCCTCTCTGTTGCAGCAGCTCTAGGTTGTACTCCCAGGACACATATCGAAGGCCTTTGCGATGTCCAACTTGAGAAGCAGAGCTGGTGTTTTTCGTCGATGCAGGGCCTTGATGCAGTTTTGAACATAAAGGAAACTATCATGGATGCATTTTGTCCGAAGAAAGGACGATTGTGTTGGTGAGATGAGCGTGTGGATTACACTAGCGAGCCTGAGGGAGAGCACTTTGGAGATCAACTTCGCGATGGAGTGGATGAGGCTAATTGGCCTATAGTCGCTAACTGACGCCGCTCCATCCTTCTTTGGCAGCAATGCAACGACCGCAGTGTTGAGTGCTCCAAAATTGCTGCCTACTAGGTTGTAAAACTGGTTGAACGCTGCCATGATGTCGCCTTTGATTGTTGCTCAGCATGACCTGAAGAAGATGCCGGAGAAGCCGTTCGGCCTCGGTGCACGGTCCGCCAGCGATGCTTTGATTGCACGCCACACTTCTTTCTCCATGAATGGGTTGTCGAGCCCTCCGCCCTGCAGCCTGGTCATGGCAAGAGATCGCCAATTGACAGTGGTGTCGTGGTGCGCTGCCGCGCCCAGGAGGGAGGAGAAGTGATCATGGATCAAGTTTTCCTTGTCCTCCTGCGAGGTGACTACACCGGATGGTTCATGAAGTGTGTGGATGAATGCTTTTCGTGTCCTAGCATTGATCTTCGCCTAGAAGAAGGTTGTTGGCGCGTCTCCAGCTCGCAGCCATGTGATTCTGGAGACCTGGCGCTTCCTTGCGTGGTCGATTGCCGCTAGTCCTAAGATTTTGAGCTTGAGCATTTTCCGAAGATGGAACTCCGCATCGGAGAGGGCTCTAGACTCCTGAGCTATGTCGAGGCGTAGGACTATTTCAGTTGCAATGTGCATCTGAATCTTGGCCCCTCCAAACTGAGATTTATTTCAGATTTTGAGGTCCTTTGCTACCCTTTTCATTTTCTCCTTCAGCCTTGCAAAAGCACATTGCGTTGAGGTTGGGCGGTTCAGGCGCCTTGGACTGTTTCCTGGAAGTGCGGGAACCGAGGCCAAAAGGATTCAAATCTAAACGTGGCCGGCCGGCGCGGGGCTGCAATAGCTGCAAGAAGCAAGGGGCAGTGATCTGAACAGGATGTTGATGCTGCATGTAGAAGGTACGACGGGAAGAGCCCCTCCCAAGTGATGTAGAAGGATGACCACATTGAAGTGGCGCCACTTATATTCGAGGGACTTTGTGAGTACAATCCATTGTGAAACCAGATTACTGTATTATGCTCACACACCTTTCGACCTTTACTATCCACGAAGGATGGGCGGGGTAAACCATGATCATGATGTTCTACTGGTCGTGCCGAGTTCCTATATTCGAGGACTCGAGGTACTAACAGAGTTCCATTACGTTACGTGTCCCCCTTCGGACCCCTCGTTGCAATCCTACGCTCTGCTCTGAAGTCTGAACACCTACTGAATACTGCCCAGCCAGTGGTCGCTGGTTCGACGTGCACGGCCGTACGGGATACAATTTCCAGTTTCCAACAGATGAACCTTCAACTTGAGCAGATTAAATAAATCTCAGGACGCCGTGATTGTAGCGGGCGTCGTGCTGGCCACCACGGCCGGGAAGATCCCCTGCCCCGGCGACAGGATCGCCCGCGGGTCGTACGTGGCCTTGAGCGCGGCGACCCTGTCCCATTTCGCCCCGAAGTGCCGCCTCCAGCCGTCCTGCGACGCGTGGTGCGGCAGGTACTGCTTGCACCCCATGCCCGCCCGGTCGCACAGCTCCAGCACCGCCTCGTTCTCCCTCTCCAGCCGCTCCAGGTCGCCGGCGGCCACCGCCGACCGGAGCAGCCCCACGGCGTAGAACACGTCCTCGTCGGGCGTCGCCGTCGTCATCCGGTCGTCCCACCTGTCCCTGTTCATGGGGTACATGAGGATGAGCCCCGCGGGCCTGGCGCCCCTCAGGACGCCGTCGAACACGCCGGCGGCGAAGTCGTGGATGCGCGACCTCGGGACGAAGAGGTTGAGCCACGGGTGCGGCACGTCCCACGCGCCGGCCGCCCGGAGCTTCTGCTCCTCCTGCCCGACGCGGTCCAGGAACTGCACGTACGACGCGTCCCTGACGAACGCCAACCCCGGGACGAAGCTCAGCTCCTCCAGCAGCGCCTCGAGCTTCCGATCCACCGTGGCGGCAGAGCGGTCGCCGTAGTACATCGCGCCCTCGATGTAGTACACCGCGGCTGATCCGGTGCCCAGCGCGAGCTCCGTCAGACGGGCGAGCTCCGACGCCGAGAAGAAGGACGACGACCTCCGGCCCTCCGTCAGGGTCCGGTTCAGCTGGACCTGACCCTCGACGTAGTCGAACCCGGCCCCTCTTGAAATGAGCAGCTCTTGGTCAGCGGTGAACTGGTGCACGTCCGTGTAGGCGAGCCGGACCCACCTGACCCGTTTCGGAGCCCGTTCGAGCCCGACCCGGGCCCGGGTTATCACCCCGAACTGGCCCAGCCCGCCCAGCGCCCCGTAGAACAGGTCCGAGTTGTTGCCCGGGGAGCAGGTGATCATGTCTCCCGTGCCTGCAGCGAACACAGATTTTAGCTATTTAAAAACAACGCCGACTCGTGTGCACTAGTTAATGAAGAGCAAACGACGTGGACACTAGTCGCATCGACCGGTACACAGAATGCGTGCCACCAGGCAGAAAACCGGTACCTGTGACGACGTCAAGCTCGTGCACGTTGGAGATCTGGGGGCCGTGCCGGAACACCTGCCCGCCTATGCCGGCGTTGGAGAGCGTGCCGCCGACGGTGATGCGGAGGTAATCGGTCCACACCCGTGGCGTGAGCCCGTGCTTGAGCGTGGCATGGAGAACGTCGAACCATAGCTGCTCGCCGCCGACGTCCACGTACATCCCATCGATGGACACATTTACACGGTGACCATGGTCACCACGCCCCAGCGAGGGCATGTCGACGACAATGCCGCCGGGGGCGAGGGCCTGTCCCCTAGAGGAGTGCCCTTTCCCACGCGGCGCCACCGTGAATGGTGTCTGCTGGTAGAGCGAGAAGCGGATTAGAGCAGCTATGTCGGCGGGAGAGACTGGGTGGAAAACTCCATCGGGGGTGGCCTCCACAATGTGGCCAAAATCCGAGGAAGCCCTGGCTGTCAAGCTCCTATCGGTATGGATTTTCGACACAACGTCAAGGGATAAGAGATCATCATCGAGAGCGCCAAATGCCGGCGCTCCGAGATGTCCGACCGTGGAGAGGAAGCCGGTGACTATGAGCAATGTAGCAAAACGAGCTATCGGCATGTTGCTGTAATAGATGTTTGGGATGTGAGTCGTGTAGCTTGAGTTTGCTACTTGCATGAGCTGAAGGAGATGTTGGTGTGTGCTCTCATGTCAAGAACTCCTACATATTTATAGTTGCACCCGGCGATGCAGCTAGAGCTGACAAATGCCGGCAGCAGCGGGGTGTTGCTAATTGTTTAGGTTTTGAATATTCCTAATTGACTTCTGCCAAAGACAAACATATGGTCCTAAAAATAAAGCATATGGTCATAGGCCCCTAGCTTGACTCCACAGAAGACCTCAATGGTTATTGGTCTATACAGAATCATAGAATCATGATAATTCAGATTTGGCAAAGCCCAACCGACGAGATTTAAATATAAGTGGTTGGTAATTTTGTATATGACGAGGCAAAAAACATATACTAGATCATAGTGGAAAACAGGTTGATTTTTTTACTACGTAATTAAATTAATTAGTAGAAAACAGGATGAAATTTGTTTTTTTTCTTTTGAGGGGAAAGGATGAAAATTGTTGCAACATGCCCCAATTAAAACACTCGATACACATCAAAATGATGCACAAAACTAAGCAGATTAACTTTGACAGGTACGAAGTATAAGGTTCACGATATCCAATTAGTCTATCATTTGATGTGTGTTTTTTTTGTTCGAGACATCATTTGATGGATTCTGATCATATAATTTATTTTTTTGCGTATATTGGAAATAAAAAATACTCCCTCTGTTCCGTAACTATTGTCATAGTTTTAATTGATAGAAAAAGTATCAAACATGCATGTTAATACATAATTTTTAGGTAATTAGAGAACTGCCAGTAAATACATTAATTAAATATCTTAATGAGAAATACTATACTCCCCCCGATTCGAATTAATTGACGCAACTAAAGTTGTGTCAGTGAGTACTACCTCCGTCTCGGTGAATAAGTCATTTGCGTAGTTCTAGGTTGACGATTTAACTATCTAAATATATATTATATGTGATACAAAATATATATTTAGAAACTACATCCTTGTAGAAATCTAGTGATATACTTTTCATGACATATAGCATATATTTAATTCCTCAAATCGATGATCTAGAACTACGCGAATGACTTATTCACCTAGACGGAGGTAGTACAACAGATTTGCTGGAACTATCAGTAATTCAAATTTTACTTTATGGTTTTCATGTCCATTCCTAATCAATGCAGGTTAGCTGCTGGGTGCAGATGACAGTGGCGATACCAAATTCTTGTTACTACACATAACATAGCTACTCTTTTGGCATGCACAAATACATTTTTGACATGGTAACTTTTTGACAATGAATACTCTCACTCTCTCTCTCTGTCTCCGTCTCTCTCTCCCCCTCGCTCCCTCTCTCTCTCTCTCCTATGTTATCTTTCTTTTGCATCTTGTGTTGTATATGATCTAGAAAGTAGTGCTAACTTCATGTTGCAATTGTTAACTCGATAAAATCCCGATAATTAGATCCGCAAATAGTAATATGGATCTGATTGAAAAAAGAACTGAGTGTAGCCCGCATGTATTTGGCCCTAGCAGCCTGCTAGTACCCAACAAAGTTGACCTTATTATATTTTTTCTGTTTGTTTGAGAGTGGATTCATTTTCTTTCCTACAGTGAGGGAGCACAACTTAGAAAAAAAGGAGGGAGCGACTTTCCAATTGTGAGGCTTTGAGCATAGATGTTAAGGCGCACCTGTACTTGAGAAAATCAGGGCTAGAGATATGTCAACCGCTTGAATAACCTCCACGGATTAGTGGTGGTCATATAAAAC